ACTAATCCACGATGCCGGCCGGCAGGACGGCGATGTAGTCCAGCGGCGCCGTCTCGCGCCCGTTGGGCTGCGTCTCGATGCGCACGACGTCGCCCTTCTCGATGTGCACGCCCCGGAAGGTCACGCGCGTCGCCGAGTGCGCGTCGATGCCTCGCGTCAGCGTGTAGCCGAGCTTGTGCTCGAGGTCGCCGACCCAGGTGCCGAGGCAGCGGTCGTTGAGGTACACCTTGTAGCTCGCCTCGCCCTCGTAGAGGTCGTAGTACGCCACCGCGAGGTCGTATGTCCCGGCCGGGTAGTCCAGCTTCGTCTCGACGCTTGCGGCTGTGCTGTTGTCGTTCGTCTGCACTACTTGGAGCCCGGATGAGGCCTCGAAGGGGTTCGTTGCTGTTACGTGGTAGCCGTGCAGCGTCATGTCTTCGGCCTCCACGCGCCAGGGGTGGTTCCAGACGCGCCCGGCTTCGTCGGCGATGCCGGAGATGTTGGCGTAGAACTGCACGACGGAGTCGCGCCAGACGATGGCGTGGCCGGCTTGGTACTCGAGGCGGAAGAGCATCTCGTCGAAGCGCTGCTTGTCGATCAGGCCCTCGAGGCTGGACCACTGCGCCGGGAAGGAGGCGGCCGTCTCGGCGCCGTCGTAGTGCGCGTCGTAGAAGTGCTGCATGACTGTCTTGCCGCTCTTGAGGACGTGCGTGTATGGCACGTGGTGGAACCAGAGGAGCAGGTCGTCCGGCGTCGTCTCGATCTTCTCGTACATCGCGGCTATCTCGCTGGGGTACTGCCCGCTGTAGCCGGTGCCGTTCGACACCGTCCGGTCCATGCCGATGCTGAAGGCGTCCGCTCTCGTCCACTGGCCCCACGGGTTGTTGTCCATGCTCTGCGGGTTCGCGCCGTAGTGGTTGTACGTGATGTCCGTCAGCGTCTGCTCGCCGAGGTTGCCGGTGTAGTTCTCGTACGCGGCCCACGACTGCATCGACATGTGCGTGATGGTGTCGACGACTTTCTTGTTTAGGCCGTAGGTGAGGCGCGTCCAGTCCTCGAGGATGGACACCTCGTCGTCGTTCGGGTCCCAGGCTAGCCGGCCGTAGGCGTATAGGTTCGACATGGCGAGGTGCGTGCCGAGCCACGTGGTGTTCTGGCCCACGTTCACGACGGCAGCGTAGCCGGACAGTGTCTTGTTGAATCGCTTGCCGGTCAGGATGTCCTCGCCGATGACGGACTTCTGGCCGTCGACGCGCAGGTCGAAGTTGAGGATCGTCTTCCATAGCGGGGGGAGGTATACGAGATGGCACTGCTGTCCCAGGTACTCCTGCGTGATCTGCAGCTCGAGCGCCGAGGCGGTGTGCTTGAGGTGCGCGAAGAGAGGCGAGACGGGCTCGCGGACCTGGAAGTCGATGGGGCCGTACTTGACTTGTAGTACGACGTTGTCGTCGAACTTGCCGTCGAGCCCGTGGAAGAACTGCACGGCGGCCTTGGCGCGGTCGTCCGTCCAGACCGACTCCCTGAGGCTCGTGCTGTCGTAGACGAAGGCGCGGAACATGACGATGCCGCCGTGCGGCTTCAGGGCCTTGGCGAAGACGTTGGCGCCTTGCGCGAGCGTGCGGTTGTAGGTCATCGGGCCGGGCTGGCCTTCACTGTCTGCCTTGACGAGGTAGCCGGCCATGTCCGGGACCTGCTGGTACAGCTTGTCGGTCTGGTTGGCCCACCAGGTGATCACGGTTGGGTCGAGGGGGTCGAAGGTCGGCAGGCCGCCTAGCTCTTGCGGCGAGGCGAAGTCGAGTGATATGCCCACCTTCACACCCCACGGTCGCATGGCGTCGGCGATCTTGCCCAGCCCGACGAGGTTCTGGTCGTTGAGGATCAGCGGGCTCGCGTTGACGTTGTTGACGATGATGCCGTTGATGCGGGCCGAGGCGAGCAGGCGCGCGTACTGGGCGACTCTCGTGGTGTTCGCGAGCGTGGTGTTGTCCTTGAAGAAGATGGATAGACCGGCGAAGCCGCGCTCGATGGTGCCGTCCAGGTTGTCCCACTGGTTCACCCAGCGGATCGGGGCACTCGGGTTCGTGGCGTAGGAGACCTTGGTGAAGTTGCCCTGCGCTAGCATGGAGAGGTATTCGAAGGCGCCGTACAGGGCGCCGCGCTCGTTCTGTCCCAGGATCTGGACATGGTTGCCCTCGCTGCTGAGCCAGAAACCGTCCTCCTCGAGCGCCGGGGCATCGGTCTTCACCCCTGCGGCCGAGAAGGCGTCGGCGGTTCCTACGACGATGGTGGGACCCTTCGAGCTCTTGTATGTGACGTCGAGGTCCTTCCCTAATATCCCGCGGATGCCCTTCTGGAGTTCATGGCCGGCGACGTAGACGGGGCTCGTCGTCGTGCTGTTGAGCGCTACGATGCTGTGTGGGAGGTGAGCGTGATGGATAACGTCTTCGGGAAGCCGGGCGTATCTCAGCCAGGCGTCTATGCCGTCCTCTGCGGCTGCCAAGCCGAAGCCCAGCGAAGCCAGAAACCAAGCTCCGCGCATTTTGATTGCTCAGATGCGGCAGCTACCTGGATTGGTGTAGGTATGGCCTCTATGTCCCTGAACCGCGTGGAGGCGGGGGATAGTAGCTGTTTATGTAGTGTAGGTGCGGGCGTGTGGTGCTATTCCCCATGATGGCTAGGAAACATGGGGAATGGGCGACCAGCCAGCCGCCTCAACACACATGGGTCCGTTCCGGGGGCCCATTGAAGACGCGTCCTCATCGTCTGCCGGTGGCGAAGAGCTCGGAAACAAGGAAGCCGGTTAGCTTTGCGTGTCTCATGGACGATACGCGCTCAGAGCCCGGCTTCCGGGTAGATGGAGTTGATTTAGGCTAATTGTGACGACGGGTTTCGTTTGCCTTAATGCCCATTATGGGCACATTGTGTGTAAGCAGCTAGAGACTGCCGGTACATGGCGCCGGCAAGATGGTGTAAGGGCGCGAGGGATCGAGGAATCCTTCGTCTTGCCGCACATAGTGCGGGAGTAAGCATTGGAGATGTTGGGGTAAAGGAGAGGGGATTGGAGCTGGCGAGGGATGAGTTGGGGTAAGTAACTTGTGGCTTGGCTTACCGTTCGCTAGGTATGGTTTGGCCTCTCCGCCGGCGTACGTTAATGTAACTTGACTATCGGACGCCCGGCACAACTCGTGAGGGTTGTGAGGGTTGTTCCCGGCTCTCACATAAGCTTCAAATACTGCTGCATCTGGAAATTGAGAGAATTTGGTTGCTGTACCGCATTTCTTGGCCACCTGACATCCTCAAGCAAATCAACATGGCGTTCCTGATAGGGAGTAATGCCCCTGACCGAGCATTGATACGATACCTAGTTAGACCGAGCAGGACAGATATGTTATGCTAACAATTCAATTACCTATACGTGTGCTTTCTTGAAGTCTCAGATCCCCCACACACTTGAACAACAAAGTAGTATGGCGCGAGTCACGGCAGATTCGAATTTGAGCACGATGCCTGCTAGTGTAGAGACTTAGTCTCGACGACCCATGGGGAACCCGGTGAAGCGAGAGCACACCATGTAACCCCCGCTAGTCTGTAGAAGATCATGGGGATGTCTTCTATGGGGCCTTTCCTAGCGCCGGTTGGTTAAGATCTTTCACAATACGGAATACTTTCTCCCTGTTCACAAGTCGCCTGCGGCGGCACTGTTGGTCGAGGTTTGGCTGCTATCTAACTTCCAATGCATTTATCCCGTTCTTCGGCCTATCTATTGTATTTCTCTGTCATTCAGAAGCGTCACTTACCTATAATCCCTTGTCACCCCTTGCCGATGTATTCGAGCAGAATAGTTGGACAGTGGAACAATGAGGTCAGCCGGACAGGAGGGTCACGAAGTCGGAGGGAAAACGTCATAAAGTAGCGCAGCTTGGATAGTAGTTAACTAAACATGTAACTATCTCGCAGATCCCGATTCACATCGACGGTAACTAGTCACAGGTAGGTATTGCCTAGGTAAAAGTGTGCGTTGTTAGGTAACTTGTTCATGTATTCGCCCGAGTAAAACCCCCCTGTCGATGTGTGTGAGTGGGTTAGGCGTTTGAGCAATTTTGAGCAATGCGGTGAGCCGAACATCGGGGTAAATACATGATGTGGTTTTAGCCGTACGGAATATCTTGTCTTTCGATGACGCCACCGCTTACACTAGGTATTTAGGTGGTGTTCCTCCTAGTTCTCCTTCTCACCAACGCCTCCATCGCGGTCAAACGACAATGAACCGGGTTCACAACAGTTACGTCGCCCTACGAATGGGCAAAAGATTCCCACCCGAGTGGCTGCGATCCGGTCCATCTCGGCTATGTTTTCAGCAATTAGCTTGTACAAGCTCAGTGCTGAAGTGAGCGAATTGAAATGTCTCGTTCGCTAGGTTTCGCCATACAATCTGGCGAACAATGTTTACGATGTCCGTGGTTTTGTAACTGGATTGTCAATTCGCATTGCCGGCCGTATGGATTGGACTAAGCATTGTGACCCTTTGGTGATCTCCGGGACTCTGTGAGTGAGTCGTCGATTTATGTGCGCGAGTACAACTGATCATTACCACTGAGATTGCTACCGTAACGTGTCATTCCCGATGTCACGGGCGGTGTACCGACAAGTCTTTTTGGAAAGGAATTCAACTTGGTTTGACTTACCAGTCGAAATGACCATCTTCCAACTGGTGTCCGAACGACCCGGTCTTGTATTCCTTGCTGCGTCGGGGCATGGCCAATGGACATAAAAGACAGATAGGCCTGGAAGCGAATGCAGCGAAAAAATGACCTTGTGAATCTCCCCACACAATCTGCCAGGAAAAAAGGTAGTCGACTTTCACTCACATCGAAAAAAGGATGTCCTCGGTGAGGCTCGAACTCACGACCTTTGGATAACCCAATCTGGGATTGGATCATACGAATATGAGACCAACGCTCTAGCCAACTGAGCCACGAAGACGTGTTTCCAATGACCTCGGGATAAGGTCAGAGGACAACGGGCTTGGCCGGGGATTGAACCCGGGACCTCTCGCATCTTTTTTGCTTTCGGGTGTACCCTAAGCGAGAATCATACCACTAGACCACCAAGCCATCTCAACTGGATGATGGAGCCGGTCCCCATCCAACACTATAGTGCCCCAGTCCGGACACTGTCGGTATCTAGGTAGTCAGGGGAACTACACGGTGTATACATCAGGTCGGGCTGGCTTCTACTATACATAAATATCCGACCCGGGTGGCGGTCTGTTGTGTGAGAAAAAAGTCGAGTCCGAGATGGCCTTTGGCGCAGGTGGCCGCCCGGTCGCATGGCCGGCAGGGTCCGCATCTGCACTAGGTGAATTCCCGCCGCAGTTTCACCGTGAAGATCGTAATCCTGCTGTTCGGCCGACTTGCATCGCTCGGCCGACCGGTGGCATCACTCACTGATAAACCTCTGTTTGCGTGCCTGAGCAGGCAGGATGGTCGGTCAATGCGGTCGGCCAAACTGCAGAGCACGACACTCGATACACTCTCACAAGACTGCTTGCCCATCATCTCGAATTCTAATCATTTTGTGGGAAATAAATGACAGATTAATTGACGACCAGTTTTGGATTGCCATATGTATTCCGTTTCGAAGGGCCGTGATCACGGGGGCATGATCGGTACACCGTACGGGTATCCCTCCGGAATCCGGGCTCCGGACCTCAGCCGCAGCAGATTCGCGGAGCAGGAGCATCCCGACTTGACCAATCTGGCAAGCAAATCCACCCGTCTCTGACGGCCCGGCTCTCTTCAACGGCGGGCATATCTATTCGCATAGGACTAGTCGACTCTTTGTAATCTTCGTCTTCAGTCCGTGTCTTGCATTCGGTATCTGGTGTCGAACCGAACAATCCCCATTCAACAGTGCTCAAATCATGGCGCCGATGCAGAGCCCGGCCTCACCTTTCGCTAGGCTGGATGATAAGTTTTCGCATCAGCAACACGACCAAGATGAAACTTCCGAGGTTTGGGGCCGTACGGGGTTGCCGTGTAGCCAAAATTTTGGTGTACGCGATGAGCCAGTCGCAAACCCCATCATCCTGGCTCAGGGCCTCACACGTATTTCGCTTGTCTATAACCAACGCGTATTCCTTGCCGCTTATGGACACAAACAGGGCAGTTTGAGCTGAGCGTGTTTTCGATGACCTGAGTGAGGCGCATGTTTCTGCCGCTTCTATTGAAATCAAAGCTGTGACGGCGTCGCCGAATACCTCAAGGCTCAGTTTTGTCCCTGGACCCTGACCCTGACCCCTGACCCGCCCTTGTGGTAAGGGAGTTACAGTGCCGCCAAAGCTTCAGCGGCAAGCCCGACTGGCTGTCCGTACCTAGACCTCGACCCGTTCGACATCAAGTTGATCGGCACGATGACGGGCGTACATAACGAAGTCCAATGTCTTCGACAACGCGTCCGCCTCCGAGCTACCACCAAACCCCTTATCGACGGCTTTAGTCTGGCTTTGGCGCTCGTCAATAACAGTATAAGCCAATAGAGAGATCGATACATATTTTGGTGGCGTAGCTAGCGCAATGGGATTTTGGTTTCGAACGTTGAGGACTACCTGCTGCCAAGCTGTCGGGCTCATGATTTTTGCAGAATGAAAATTTAATCATGGTATCCCCCATAAACTAGTATTACCTATGCTATACATGTGTTGATATACCTAGACAACGAATATTAGGTCCCTACCAGAACACCAGCCAACCCAACCCGCCGCGCTGGATACGATTGGTCTTCCTGCTGCCGATTCAAAGCCTTGACAATGTGATCAAGTATCTTCCCAAACCAGATGTCGTCGAGTGGCGGGTCAATGAGCAAGGAGGCATGCAGGACTGAGTCTTAATCAATCACAATGATATCACTCGTAACAAGTTCTTGAGACTATAGCGTACCGTATCTTGAGCGCGCCGGATACCTAGAACAACCCATGGAAGTTGGAACTACTTAGTCCGAAACCGTCTGGAAGTATTCTCACCGTTCGCTAGCGTATATTATTATGTGCCTGGTCTAATAAGATATCTACTGTATGTAATTATCCTGGTCAACCTATATTGCACTGCGTTAAGGCCCGACAACATCATAGGTATATGTGCTTCACCCGTGATAGTAGGTTATGAAGTATTCTTTCACAACAGGCAATCGATTTACCGTTAACTATGCCCACCCGTTCTCACCAACCACAGTCCACAATCAGGTGATAAAGAAGAGGGAATAGTCTGTGAAGAGTACAGGTAGATAATCTAGAGATTGAGAATTGCTAGGAGGTTCCGAAACAGTTTGGCCTAATTAATCACCAGCCTATATGATACAAGTATAGCAGCGGTGAGTTGGCTACTATAATTGGAATATAGGGGCAGCGGCAATGACTAGCTTGTCCTTGAGTCCTTGAGGTTCTCGGGACGTATTCACGATAATGAAGGCGAGCACAACTAGACTGGCCTTGTCACCAAAACACAGGTTAACGTCACTTACGAGTTAGGTAGATTCAATGGTACCAGATCGAAATAGAAGTAATGTTCCGTCTCCTGATGCCAGTCATTCCGCAACTCTTTCACGCCTAACTACCGCGGTCCTTTCTAAGTTACAACACAGCCACACTATTTCAGTAAATAAACCCCTTGCGCGCTGCGTGCACATACATAGTAAAAAGCCTTGATAGAGGGCTTCAAGGAGAGAACTATGATCTGTCACGGTTCACGAATAGAAACACTTTACCAACGTATCATATCGTGTCATAAGTAAGGGGGATTCTTAACTCTCAAGGAAGAGATCGGCCGGTGGGCTAGGCATATCCGAGTCGTAGTTCGAGAATCGACGTGCGAGACTGGCCTTGAAGTATCGCGACAACACTTAAGAGCTGAGTTATCTGTCGCTAGGTTGATGTCCCAGGGGTTAGTTTGACGATAAGAAACTACTTGAGCTACCTACTACGCAATTAGTAAATGGTGTTTCGCGTGTAAGTATATTATAGTGAACATAATATAATATGTCCATAGCAGAGACGAAAATGTAGACTACGTACATTATTCCAGGACTCGACAGAGTGATCTACCTGATAGGTACTTGATATACTAACACCTCACAGGCCCATTAATGCCTCTTGATATGAGCACTCTCATCTTACTTTCACTCCGCCGCTCTGGGGTAGAAACCAGTCTCTCGGGCTCACAGACTGGTAGTAACAATGTTTGCCAGGTTCAGATTCTTGACCTGTCAACCCGCCGGGTATGGGCGATCTGACAGGACCGGCGGTGCGAATCGAGTTCATCATGCGGATACATAGATTCTTTACACTAGAATACCCTCAGATGATAACTCTGCGCGAAAACGGCATTCGAAGATATAAACCGGCCATTCCACTCTGTATCTACTTACACATCATGACTCTTTCAAGGTAATATTCTGCCCCAGCCCTAAGCATCCGATTCAAACGTTCATCCCATCATGGATACCCAACAAACCGACAGTTTCTTGAATATGGTAACCTACTTTAAGGCGTTGGACAGCTACTTATTAAACGCATGTTACTCGGCAACCACGCTCTATCTCTTCGTCCGAGACAACCTCAAGGACATCGTGTGTCTGGGATACCTCTTCGGCGCCGTCAATGCCATCGCCGCCTTCAAAATCTCCATGGGGCCCGCCGTACATATAACAGACCTGTGTCTATCCACACACAAAATGCTCCTCTGGTCACTCAGCAACCTCCTCCTCTTCAACATCCACAACCAACGACACCCCTTCGCCGTCCTTGAAGATAGCCGAAATAAACCCTGGCGCCCGCTCCCCGCCAGACGCATCACGCCCAAGCAGACGACTCGCCTGATGTTCGCCATGTACCCCGTCATCCTGCTCATTTCGTACAAATGGGGAGGCATGATCCCGTGCCTCCTCGAGGCATTCTCGTGCTTGTGGTACAACGAATGGGGGGCTGCCGCGGACCCCTTTTTGAAGAACCTGCTCAACGGGATCGGCTTTGCCTGCTTTTTGGCTGGGCCGCTTGAGGTTGCTACGGGGAAGTCTGTCTTCTCGGGTGATGGCACGGCTGCTGTATGGCTGGGGATGCTGAGTGCTTGTATCACGACGACTGTTCATATCCAGGACTTCAGGGATGTCCAGGGCGACAGGGTCGCCGGCAGGAGGACGGTTCCCTTGGCCATTGGCGACACGGCCGCGAGACTCTTGGCTGCGGTCTGTGTGTTTGGATGGACGGGGGCGGTTGCTTGGTATTGGCGGGCTGCTTGGGTGCAGGTTGTGTTTGCCGCGGTGGCTGGCGGTATCCTGCTGTGGAATCTCTTCTGGGACAGGACTGTGAAAGGGGACGTCTTTACGTGGAAATTATGGCCGGCTTGGATTGTTGGCCTGTTTTTAGTACCGGTCATACCGGGGAAATTTTAGATGTCTTTGTCCTCCCAGGCCGAACTAACGTCTGCCGTTGGTCATGAATCTGGTCACTGATGAACGTTTGGTAGGTCTATTGAAAAATCAGGAGGATGATAAATTACCACTGAACCGGATATAACCTATCAAAAATACTGGAACGTATTATTAATTTTCTATGCTTGGACCTAAGGTGATATGTATCGAAGAGAGGCGAGGATGGTTGGCGGTATTCTTACATGAGCGGCCGACTTGATAAGGTCCTAGGAACTTGAAGCGGCACTATACCCGTCCAGTAGACTTTCAAGCCACTGTTCATTCTCTAAATCCATCGACTCCGTCCATAGCATCTGATCTGAATCGGACGTGAAGTGACAATGCCCAGCCAGGCCAAGTCCAGTGCTTGGAATTGTCCTAGCCCCTGCGTCTGGTTGGGGCACGAAGGCCCGGCGGGAATCAATCCACGCGCGACATCTATACAAGAGTCTGCATAAGAGTTGCGGTAGGCTGTCGTCGAAGACGCCCGGTTCCTTTCCGGCTATGTCAAGCTTCCGGATCATGCCGTCCAGGGCGGAATTCATGTCGATGGTGTTGCGTATTGCGTGGCAATCCCAAGCCGGATCTCTGAGCAGTGGTAAGCTCTTCAGGAATGTGAAGCACTGGATGATCTGGAGCCAGAAATGGAACG